GAGACAGAGACAGAGACAGAGAGACAAAACAGACAGAGACAGAGACAGATATAAAGAGAGACAGAGACAGAGACAGAGACAGAGACAGAGAGACAAAACAGACAGAGACAGAGACAGATATAAAGAGAGGCAGAGACAGAGACAGAGACAGAGACAGAGACAGAGACAGATATAAGAAGAGACAGTGATAGAGAGAGAGACAGAGACGGAGACAGAGACAGATATAAAAAGAGACAGTGATAGAAAGAGACAGCAATAGAAAGAGAGAGAGAGACAGATAAACAGACAGCTCCAATCACCCTACACAACAAATACATATCGATGCATGCACTGGAGACAGAGACAGACAATAAAGAAAGGAGAAAGAGAACATGCATGATAAGAATATGCACAGCCCAAACAACTCTTCTTCTCAGGAACATCAATTATACAAAACATTTATTTATTTATTTATTTATTTGTTGCTGGGGTGTACGTACAGCACAAGAGACGGCCTGTGGAAGACAGTTTTAGAGGAGTCGTCTCTTCAGGGTCTTCACGAGTGGATGCCGAGCACTCGCACAGTGATGGATTATTATCAGGTCAGTGTATCTTGTTTTTCTTCTGACTGTCTCTTCGGGCATGTGTGGGGCGCTGCTACACTTTATTAGGGTTTACTAGGGTTTGTTAGGGTTTGATCAGGGTTGTTTGAGGGTTTATTAGGGGTTATTAGGGTTTGTCAGGGATTCTTAGAGATTATTACCGATTAGTATGGTTTATTTAAGTGTATTAGGCCGTATTAGGGTTTATTAGGGTTTATTAGACTTCATTGTTGTTAATTAATGCTGTTCAGGGCTTATTAGTGTTTATAAGGGTTTTTGGGGTTTATAATTAGGGTTTACAATTAGGGCTCATTAGGGTTTATAATTAGGGTTTATAGTTAAGGTTTATAGTTAGGGTTCATTAGGGTTTATAATTAGGGTTTATAATTAGGGTATATAGTTAGGGTTAATAATTAGGGTTTTAAAATTATGGTTAATAATTAGTGTTTATTAGGGTTTGTAATTAGGGTTTAGGGTTTAGGGTGTATAATTAGGGTTTATTAGGGTTTATTAGGGTTTATAGCTTGGGCTTACAGGAACGAACCCCGGGATCGTTTGTGGAGGCGACTGTGGGGACGTTGAATTGGCATTGGGACGAAATGCAGCAGGCGTTCGGTAGGCAGCAAGCAACAGATCTGCTGGCTTACTTGAGAGCTACTTTGCTGAAGCAGCAGGAAGAGCAGCAGCAGCAGCAGCAGCAGCAGGAGCAGCAGCAGCAGGAGCAGCAGCAGCAGGATCAGGAACTGCAGGAACACCAACAAGAACAACAACAATACAAGACCAGCACTCACCACCACCATCACCGCCATCATCATCACCAGCAGCACCAGCAACACCAGCAGCAGCAGCAGCAGCAGCAACAGCAACAGCAGCAACAGCAGCAACAGCAACAGCAGCACCATAGCAGGGTAGAGGTCGTCTTAGGGCCTCGCTCTGTGGAAGTACGCGACATTGCATGCAGCCGGAAGCAATTGCTGGTAACTCCTTCATGGGTCTTGGGGTTTAGGGTTTAGTGGTTAGTGTTAAGGGTTTAGGGTTTAGGGTTTAGGGTTTATATGCTTAGGACAGAATGCATGTGAGGCGAGAGGGCGTTCACGCGAGCTCTTGCCTGTCTCTCGAGTGTACGGATGCATGCATGCATGCATGCATAAAGTGTCTTTCAGGTGTATGCATGCATGCATACACCCGATGCATGCATGATGAGTGTTTACCCTCATACCCTTATTTGGGGCTTTTCCTTTGCGTCGTAGCTGTGGGTGTTTGTCCCGTCCATGTTTGCATGCATGCATGCATTTTCATGCGTGCATGCATGCTTGTTTGTTTGCATTTGGGGCTTTGTTTATGTGTTGCAGCTGCGGGTGGTGGAGAGGGAGTTCGGCGAAGATTTTCTTCGTTCTGTTGGTTTTTATTTATGCATTGGCAGCTTTGCTTGGAGAGAAGAAGATTTATATGAGTTGTTTGGAGATGAAGAGACACTTGCTGTCTCCTCGGACGTGCAGGAACGCGCCCCACAACACGATCCCAACGATCCCCACGAGGAGACACCTCCACCCCACACCACGCAGGAGACACAGCTGCACGGAACCCATGCTTATGAAACTGCAGCAGCAGCAGCGGCGGCAGCAGCTACACAAGCAGCAACGCCCCGCACCAGACCATCCCCTGCAGCAGCAGCAGCAGCAGCAGCAGCAGAAGAAGAAGCAGCGGCAGCAGCAGGACCTGCAGCATCACTCTTTTATAAAATCCGCAGGATGTCAGAACCCCTGCCGAGGAATATGGGTACGCAATCCCTAACAATTCAATCCAGCCCCAATTCCCGCATGCATGCATGCATTTGAATGCATTTGCATGCATTTGCATGCATATTCGCATGATAAGCCAGCCCCAAACATCCGTCTCCTTACCCTTTAAGGCTTTGTTATTATATTCATGCAGCGAGGTTGAGGGGATGGCTCCGTATATACATATATATATATATATATATAGTATATATATACTATATATATGTACATTATATATATGTGCATATATATATATATATATTATATATATATATGCCTATATGTTTATATGTATGAACACGAATATTACAGATAAAGAAGAAAGACGGAGAAGCATAGAGCTTCTCGGGTGTATGTGTGTACACCGCAGTGTATCATATATATATATATATATATACATATATATATATATATATATATATTTAGGAAGGGATACAGAGGCCTGCGCATGCATTCTGCTGACTGTCTCCTCCTTGGAGACACCTGTGCTGCGGTGTCTCCTCAGGTGGCGGCATCAGCAGACAGCGAACCTTTCCTCGCTCCAGCCCGGCCATGATGCGTATATGCAGCAGCAACAGCAGCAGCAGCAACAAGAGCAGCAGCAGCAACACCAGCAGCAACGGCAACGCTGAGTGGAGCTGGCCTATGAGGACTTGCATCTCCGTCAGGTATTTTCTGTCTCTTTTTCCTGCTGTATATATCATTGAACAAACTCAAAAGATATATATGCTTCAAGAGATATGCACATGCGCATGCATGCATGCATGCATGCATTTACACGAGATGCTAGTAGTAGTTGTCTCCTCCTTTTGTTTGGCGTGCTGCTTTCTATCTGTCTCTGTGTCTTTTATTTATTTATTTGTTGTGTCTCTGTATACTTCGCTTTGTCTGTTTCTTTGTTTGTTTATTGATTTATATGTTTATCTGTCTCCTTTTGTGTCTCCTCATTTTCTGCTTCTTGTGTCTCTTTTTGTGCTGTCTCCTTTTGTGTCTCCTCATTTTCTGCTTCTTGTGTCTCTTTTTGTGTCTCCTTTTGCGTCTGTTTGTCTCTTTATTTGTTTTTGTGGGTCTGTCTCTTTTTACTATTTGTTTGTTGCTTTATTTGCTTCTCGCTTTATGAGTTTTTGCAGCTGATTCTTCGTCTCTTTATCTGTCTCCTTTGTGCTGTCTCCTCGTCCTGCTGTCTCCTTCTTTCTCTTCTCTCTCTCCGCTTCATATGCCTGCTGCCTAAAAGCACAGTTATATCTTGCTGCTGCTATTCTTGCTGCTGATGCTGCTGCTGTTGCAGCTACCACTGTTGCTGTCGTTGCTCTTACTGGTCTTGTTGCTGCTGCTGTTATTAGGCTGCTGCTGTATGCAGCAGCAGCAACAGTCCTTGAAGAGACACTGGAGGAGACGCCGTGTGTCTTTCCTTTTAATGCCTTTGTCTCTGTCTTCTGTTTGTTTTTTTATTTGTTACAGCTCTACTTGCTGTTGTTAACCTTGCACTGTCTCCTTTTGTCTGCTTCTACCTCCTTTTTATCTGCGTACATCACTGCATATATCCCCTTCTGTCTCCTTTGCACTATCTGTCTCCTTTTAAGTGTCTCCTTTTGTTTGTCTCTGTCTCCTTTTAACTGTCTCCTTTGGTTTGTCTCTGTCTCCTCTCAGCGTGGGGCTGAATTTATCTCGAGCCCGCACATGTGTCCCCAACGCCTATCACGTTCAGAGTCTCCTTATACAGCTGGCTGAAGCAGCTACCTCTGCGGGGCTGCATGCGCAGCAGCAGCATCAGCATCAGCAGCAGCCGTGGGTGTAATAATGCATGCATGCATGCATGCATGTACGCATGCATTTCAGGTGCATGCATGTTGGGGCTGGTAGTTTAGAAGTTTGTCTTTCCTTACAACCCACCACATATGCTGACTCAGAGGTGCGCATACACCTCAGAGCTGTGCATACACCACAGAGGTGGGCATACACCTCAGATCTGCCCATACACCTCAGAGCTGTCCATACACCTCATAGATGTGCATACACCTCAGAGCTATCCATACACCTCAGAGTGTGCATACACCTCTCGTAGAAGGGAGAAACAAAGGATAAAAGAGCAATCTCGCGCCTGAGCTTGTCTCTAGGGAGACTCAGGAGACACTAGATATGCTCGCATGCATGCATGCATACGCAGGTTAGGGCTTGCTGCTGTATGCATGCAGTGCATGCAGTGCGTGGATGCATGCATGCAATATGCATGCATGCATACAACAACGCGTAAAGCCAGCCCCAAAGCACCCACCAGCCCAGGAGGGAGGTGGCGTTTGCAAAGACACAGACAGGGAGTTTGTTAATAAATATATTTATTTTATTTTTCAATACAACATTTGCGCTTCTTTTTCTTCATCTTCTCAGCAGCTACTCGCCAGTTATGCTCCTCAGATGTACTTGTAAATATATACTAATATATATATATATATATATATATGTTTATTATTTATTTATGCATATATATATATATATACATATATATATATATATATATATATAACAGAATTAATTTGCATGTACAGGTGTGCGTGCATAGATAATAATCCTCTAATCTGAGCATATTTATTTATTTATTTATTTACTTACTTATTTATCTACATTTAGATACTTTTATATGATTGCGTGCTTGTGAACAGTATGTATACATATATATATATATATATATATATATATACATATATAGACAAGACATACATTTAAATATACTTATGTGAGGAGACACAACGAAGAGGGTTTAAAAGTGTAGTGCCATCGACCGGTGTTTAGGCGACCCGCTCGGGTTTGTTGTGGGTTTTTGAAGTGTTTATAAGGCATTGTCTAGGGTTTAGGGTTTAGGGTTTTAGAGGGAGTAATAAGGGATCAGCAGAGAGGTTGCAGTGCCTAGGGTTTAAGGGATTGCCGGCGTTGTGGGGTGGGGTTTAGGGTTCAGGGTTTAGGGTTTAGGGTGTAGGGTTTAGGGTTTAGGGTTTAGGGTTTAGGGATTAGGGAAGGCCTTGCATGCAGCATGCATGCAACTCGAAGCCCTGGGGCTGGCTGGCGTTGTGCATGCAGAGAGCAGCAAATTGTTGGCTGTACATATCTTCTTTTTTCTTTGTCTCTTTTTAATTGTTTTAAATATATTTTTGTTTGCTTCGATAAAAGAAATAAAACAAGAGACGCAAACATAGGGGCTCAGCCCCCCCCTTCACCGCCGACAGTGTACAGACACCTGAAGCTGCCTGTACACCTCAAGCAGCAGCAGCAGCCACAACAACAGCAGCAATAGCAGCAGCGGCAGGTGCTGCTGCGACAAGCTGCATCGAACACTGTCGCGGCATTCTGCAACAGCCGCTGCCCCGCTGCAACAGTACGAGCAGCAGCAGCAGCAGCAGCAGCAGCAGGCAGCAGCAGCAGCTCAGGCTCTTCTACCTCAGACCCTACTGCACAGAGCAGCAGCTAGCACAACAGCTTGAACTTAATGCTGGTTGTCTGTTGAGAAGCTCCAATAGGGGCGAGGCCTCAGCTGCAGCAGGAGATATGACGGCAGCAGCAGCAGCGCCTGCAGCACCAACAGCAGCAGAAGCAGAAGCAGCAGCAGCAGCAGCAAACACAATGAGCGCTGAAGCAACGAACGGATACACCGGCGAAATGTCGGAAGCAGCAGCAAGCCCAAACGAAGCAGCAAGACTTGCTGTACAGGCCAATGAGGACAGCAGCAGCAGCAACAGCAGCAGCGGCTGCTGCTGCCGAGATGGAAGCTGCAGCAGCAGCAGCAGCTGCAGGTGCGGTCTACTGCAGCGCTGCAGCGAATACCCAACAGGATTTGAGTTGATGCCTTGTGTGCAGTTGCTGCCCAGCCTTTCGAGTGCAGCAGCAGCAGCAGCAGCAGCACCTAGAGGTCCTTCTCTGCGGTTTGCTGAGGTGTACGTACACCTCGAGTCTGCGCTGCAGTTCTTTCTCTCAAGCCAGCAGCATAAAGTGGAGGCAGAGATGAGGCATATAAGGAAGCTGCAGCAGAGGTTAGCAGTGGTGCTGTCTTTAGTCTCGTTTGCTGCTGCATCTGTCTCTCTCTGCTGCTTTGTTATCTGCTGCTCTTTCTCTCTATTTGCTGCTGTCTCGTTATTCGCGGGGGCGATGTTTTAGCTGTACGTACACCTAAGACTACGTCATCTCTTTCTTGAGGGTTTAGGGTTTAGGGTTTAGGGTTTAGGGTTTGGGGTTGCTTCTGTTTGATTGCAGCGCCTGGGGTAATACGCTGATAGCAGCAGCAGCACATCAGCTGCTGATGGAAGCTGCAAGGTCGCACATCTGCACGGCCTACTGCAGCAGCAGCAGCAGCAGCTGCAGCATGCAGCAGCACGCAGCAGCAGCAACAACAGCAGCAGCAGCAACAGCAGCAGAATGGTTGCTACCTTCTGCTGCTGAAATGCAATCAAAATATTCAGCAGTTTTAGGGTTACCAGCAGACCACAAGCAGCGGCTGCTGCCGCAGCTGCTGCAGCGCGAGGCCTTGCTGCAGCAGCAAACCCTCGACTGTACGTGCTGCTGCCGCTGCTGCTGCCTCTGCAGTGTATCCGCAGCAATCAAGGCCCGCCGCTCTATCTTGGCTTCGCTGCTGCACTTCTTGCAGCAGCAGCGGCTGCTGCAGCAGATGCCTGCAGAGATGCGGTGGGTCTGCTTCTGCTGCTGCTTCTGCTTTTGCTGCTGCTGCTGCTGGTGCTGATTGCCGGCTCCCTGTGCTGCAGCTGCAGCAGCAAGTTGCTGCTGCTGCACTTTGGAGCTCTTTGCACACATCCAGCTTCACGTGCTGCTGCTGTTCCTGTTGTTGCTGCGGCTGCTGCTGCTGCAGGCACGAGGCTGTGGGGCTGCTGGATGAGCTTCGGCTGCAGCTGCATGCGCTGCTGCCGCCGCTGCATGCATGCACGCAGCGGAACCCCGAGTTAAATGAGAGGGAACAGGAGGAGCTGCTGCTGCAGCGGCAGCAGCAGCAGCGACAGCAGCAGCAGCAGCAGCCATTCAGCAGCAACAGCAGCAGCAGCATAGATGAGACCATCTTCCGCAGCAGCGAACGCCTCTGCTGCAGCAACACAACGCAGCAGCAGCTGGAGACCCGGAGGCTGTGGCGCTGCGCCTTGTTGTTGCGCCTACAGCAGATGATAACAGAGCAGAGCAGCAGCAGCAGCAGCAGCAGCAGCAGCAGCAGCAGCGACTGGGAGGTATTTGTACGGCTGCCGTTTGCTGCGGTTGTTGCTGCAGTCCTGCAGCAGCCACACGGGGGTTTGGAGACGGTGGAGTGTTTGAGACGGGCAGTGGGGCTTAAGCAGCAGCAGCAGCAGCAGCAGCAGCAGCAAGACGTGCTGCTGCTGTTTCAGCAGCCCACAGAGGAGACCAGAGATATTGCAGAGTGCACCTCATGGCTGCAACTCCTCAACTGTCTCCTCGATTCGGTTATGGCGTTGCTGCTGCCCCGCATCAGCAGCAGCAGCAGCGGCAGCAGCAGCAGCAGCAGCAGCGATTTAAGTGACACCAGGGAATTCGTACATTTGCTGCTGCAGCCATCAGAAGATTGGCCTCTGGGCGTCAAGCTGCTGCGCGAAGACGGATCAGGTGAAGAGGAGCTGCTGCTTCTGTTGCTGCTGCTGCTGCTGCTGCTGCTGCTGCTGCTGTCATTGCTGCTGCTGTTGCTGTCGTTGTCGCGGCGCTGCTGCTGCCAATGCGGCTGCTGCTGTCCTGTCCAGTGGTGCTGTGGGGACGAAGGGTAGTGCTGCTGCAGTAACTGTTGCTGCTGCAGTAACTGTTGCTGCTGCAGCAACTGTTGCTGCTGCTGTAGCAGATGTTGCTGTTGACGTAGCCCATACTGTTGCTGCTGCAGCATATGTTGCTGCTGCTGCTGCTGGAGGCACTCTGTTGTTTTTGTTTGCTGCTGCTGCTGCAGATTCCCTTGAGCTACGCGCTGCTGCTCTTTGCTGCTCTGCATGCGACGGCGTCGTGGCTGCGCTGCAGCGACAGCTTGCAGCAGCAGCAGCAGCAGCAGCAGTACCTGCCTTCCCGCTGCTGCAGCGGCAGACGCTAGAGGCCCTGGGACAAGGCCAGCAGCAGAGACACCGGGAGAAGCTGCAGCTGGTGCGTCTAAAGGAGACAGAAGCAAAGGAGACACCAAAAGAAAGAGACAGAGACAACTGCACATACTAGAGAGACAGATATTGCTGAGACGGAGACAGACAGTAGAGACACAGCAGAGAGACAGATAAACAGAGACACAAGGAGAAGCTTGGGGCAGGAAACTATTACATTTTGCTGCCGTTGCTGTTGCTGCTGTTGCTGCTGCTGCTGCTGTTGGTGTTGCTGCTGCTGTCGCTGCTGCTGTTGTTGCTGCTGTTGCTGCTGCAGGAGTGTCTTTGCGCTGCTTTTAGGTCGTGCGAAGGGGTGCTGCGTCTATGCGGGTTGCTGCGGCCTTCTGAAGCCTTTCTGCGTCTATTGGCTGAGCAGCAGCTGCAGCAACAGCAGCAGCAGCAACAACAGGAGCAGCAGGAGCTTCTATCGTCCTGTGCTGATCTAGCAGCAGCAGCTACAGGAGGTCTGAGCGGCTGCGTTGCTGCGGAGGGGCCCCCGATGCTGCTAACGCCGCTGCAGCAGCAGGCGCTGCAGCGCCTGCTGCTGCAGCAGCAAGACACGCAGGCCCGTGTCTTGTGCCGGCTTCGCCTTGTTGAAGACACTGCAGCATCTGTGCGCTGTGGGGGGGGCCCTAAGCTCGCAGGTGAGAGGAGGAGACAAGGAGACAGCTGCACATACACCTCAAACGCAGCAGCCATAAACAGAGACACCCCACATGCTTCTGTTAATGCATGCGAGGTGAAAGAAACACCATAGAACCATGCTTGCTGCTGCTGTTGCTGCTGCTGCTGTTGCTGCTGCTGCTGCTGCAGTCTCCTCCACACCGCTGACAGCGGCCTTGGCGGCGTCTTTTGAAGATGCGCCGACTTTGCTGCTGATCGCTGTGTGCAACACCCGGCGTGCTGCAGCAGCAGAGCAGCTGCAGCAGCAGCAGCAGCAGCAGCAGCAAAGTATGAGCCCCATTGACTCAACAGACGCCTGGGGAGGCCTTCTCCCAGGGCCGCTGCAGCGCCAGCTGCTCGATCCTCCTCTAACTATGGAGCTGCTGCTGCAGCGCATGCAAGTAAGCAGCAGCAGGAGCTGCAGCAGCAGCAGCAGCGGGCGATCCTGCTGCGGAACTCGCAGCAGGGGCTGTTGCTGCTGCAGCAGCAGAAGGCATGCAGCTAGCTGTGGCAGCGAGCGACGAAGAGTTAAATAGAAGACGCACAATGAGACCTTGCAGTTGCTTTCGAGTGCAGCAAAACCCGCTGCTGCTGCTAACTGATGTTGCCCGCTGCTGCTGCTGCTGCTGTTGCTGCTGCTGCTGCTGTTTGCAGGATTCCCCGTCTCTGTTGGAATCTGTTGTAGCTTTTTTGTCTCTGGCGCTGGTGAGCGATCCTTCTGTGTACGTCGATTCTGCTGCCGTGGCTGCTCCTCCTGCAGCAGCAGCAGCAGCTGCTGCTGCTGCTGCTGCTGCTGCTTCTGCTGCTGGTACTGCGGCAGATTCAGCTGTACAGGCACCCCACGCCTATGCGGCACGAAAGGGAGCCGTCGGGTTTTTCTCTGCGCTCGCCTGGCTGCCTCCTGCTGCTCTCCGTCTTTGTTTGCTGTAAGCCCTGTACATCCTGCTGCTGCTGCTGTTGCTGCTGCTGCAGCCACGTGAGATGGATTGTCCTGCTGCTGCTCGGAGTGTGTAAAGCGCTGCAGCTGGGAGAGCAGCAGACTGTCACAGGAGCTGCATGGTAGGACCCGCTGCTGCTGCTGTTGCTGCTACTGTTGCTGCTGCAACCTTTCTGCTTTTTCTTTTCGTCTAGTGTGGAGGCATCCTTGCGTGATGGGGCGCATCTGCTGCAGGAGCAGCAGCAATTGCTGTTGCTGCTATTGTTGTTGCTACTGTTGCTGCTGCTGATTCTGCTGCTGCTGCTGCTGCTGCTGCAGGGTTGAGGTGTTGCAAAGCCACGCCGTAGACCTCCGAGCCGAAGACGTTCTTGTCCCTCTTGACATTGCAGGGTAAGCGTCTTGCTGCTGCTGTTGCTGCTGCTGCTGCTGTTGCTGCTGCTGCTGCTGCTGCTACTGCGCTCTTGCGTGTCTCCGAGTGCCATCTTAGAGTACTGTCTCCTGTTGCGGTGTCTCCTTTGCATGTGCTGCTTGTGCCGTTTCCAACTTAACTATGTTTGCTGCTGCTGTTGCTGCTGATGTTGCTGTTGTTGCTGCTGTTACTGCTGTTGATGTTGCTGCTGTTGCTGCTGCTGGTGCTGGTATAGGGAAGGCGCGGAGCCCGCCCTTGATGCGGTGTATAGGGAGCTTGTTGCTGTCTCCGAAAACCCCAGTAAGTGCAGTTGCAGCAATAGCAGCAGCAGCAGCTGCTGCTGCTGCTGCAACTGCTGCAGCAGCACCTCGTACACAAGCGATATCTACAGCAGCCGCAGAAACAGCTGCTGCTGCATCAGCAGCACAAGCTGGAGGCGGTGTTTGCGCTGCTGCTGCAGGATACTCATGGCGTATGCGGGTGCATGCAATGGGGCTTGCAAGGGCCTGCAAGCTATCGAACAGCAGCAGCAGCAGCAGCAGCAGCAGGCGGCTGCAGGAGCAGCTACAGCAGCAGCTTGTGCTGCACTTTCCTTCGCATGTGCTGCCCGACGACCCGGGACTGTCTCTTTGCTGTCTCCATCTGCAGCGACTAGCTGGGTAGGTGCAGCAGCCGCAGCAGCAAGAGCAGCAACGGCAGGAGCAGTAGCGGCAGCAGCAGCAGGAGCAGTAGCGGCAGAAGCAGCAGGAGCAGCAGCTGTTGCTCCTACTGCAGCCGCGGGTATTTGGTGTGTCTTTGTTTGCTGCTGCTGCAGCTTCCCTGCGGAGGTGCCGCTGCCTCCTTCTGAGGTGCTGCCGAAGGTGCTGCAGCAGCAGCAGCAACTGCTGCAGCAGAACGCTGGGAGCCTGACTTGCGGAGGTGGGTATTTCTCTCGTGCTGCTGCTGTCTCCTTTAGCTGCTGCTGCTATGCTGCTGCTGCTGCCCCCGCTAATCGCTGGTGCTGCAATCTGCGCAGTAGTTTGCTGCTCAAGATGCATCCCTGCACCGTTCTCAGCAGCAGCAGCAGCAGCAGCCAGAACAGCAGCAAGAGCAGAAGGCGCAGCAACTGCACCACCATAAGCAGCAGTGACAGCAGCAGCAGCAGCAAAGTGCGGTGGTGTTGCGGTTGCAGGCCGTCTGTCTCTGTTACGATTGCTTCGGGTGTCTGCCCAGCTGCTGCCTTCTTTGCTGCTGTCTGAGGGAATATCGGTCTCTTCTTTTAAGGTGGGTTTGGGGTGTATGCTCACCTCCTCTGTGCATGCAGTGCTGCATGCGCTGCTGCAAGTGTCTCCTCCTGAATTCTGTCTGTCTCCTTTTCTGTCTCCTCTTCTTCCTCTCAGACATTCTGGCTGTTGGTGTTTGAGGCGGATAAAGCGCTCTGGGTAGCAGTCACGAAGGCAGCAGGTTTGTCTCCTTTCTGTCTCCTTTCTGTCTCCTTTCTGTCTCCTTTATATCTCCCTTATATCTCCTTTCTGTCTCCTTTCTGTCTCCTTTTCTGTCTCCTTTCTGTCTCTTCTCGTCTTATCTATATTCATTTTCTCTTTTTCAGTTGCTGCCATGCATTCTGTGCTGCTGCTGCATGTGCTGCATGTGCTGCTGCTGCTGCAGATGCTGCTGCTCTCAGCCGCACTAACTGCGTCTACCCAGCAGCAGCCACCATGGAGAGCAAAATGCAGGCATTGCCGGGGGCCCCCAATCCAGCAGCAGCAGCAGCAGCAGAAGCAGCAGCAGCAGCAGAAGCAGCAGCAGCAGCGGAGGGGGATTCAATGGGGCTGCATGCACGCTTGCTGCTACGAACTTTATTTTATGAGCTCGTGTGTCTCTACGGCCCAGCCATTCTGGCTGTGCCTCCAGCTGCCCCTCCTGATGCCTGTCTCCTTGCTGCTGCTGCAGAGGTGCAGCAGCAGCTGCCGCAGCACGTGCGGTTGCTGCTGCGGCACTATGTCTCTATGCAGCAGCAGCGCCTCCCCGGTGTTGCTAGCAGCAGCAAACTAAACCTTATTGTCTCTTCGCGTTGTAGCTAAGGCTGCAGGGACAGCAGCAGCAGTTGCTGCTTTGAGCAGCAGCTGCATTTTAGAGCTGCAGGGACAGCGGCAGCTGTTGCTACTTGGAGCAGCAGCAGCAGCTGCATTTTAGATCAGCAGCAGCGACTGCAGCAGCAGCAGTTGCAGCAGCAGCATATCTGTCTCCTGTCACCACTCCTAAAGGAGACACCCAGGAGACAGTAGCTACCGCTTCATTTTCTTGCTAAACATCACCGGCTGTATAATACCTTTTGCTGCTTCCTACCACACTGCTGCTGCTGTTGTTGTTGCTGCTGCTGCTGCTAAGCCTTTGGGAGACTGCCTCTACGAAAGAGCGAGCTGCAGCACCACTGCTGCAGTGTACAGACACCCGAAATTGAGCAGAAGCTGTCTCTCTTTGAACTCCATTACGAAATCATCTGCATGCATACTGCATGCACCCTCTGAGGGTCTCCTAACATTAACTTTAAGATAGCCGGAGGGGGGCTACGAGGAGACAGAGAGCTTTTGTTTGTTTGGTATTAACTGTCTCCAAGCTGCCTATACACCTCAGCTCGACGCCACTTTGCTGCTACATTCTACTCTGCGTCTCCTCTTCAGTGCAGCGCCGAGCAGACAGCAAAAGGCTGCTTCACCCCAGCTGTCTCTGCACGGCGGGCCCCACAGTATGCAGCTAGCTGCAGCTAGCTAGCAGCTAGCTAGCACTATATGCTAGCTAGCTAGCTAGATGCTGGCTGACTGCAGCTAGCTAGCACTCCTGCATAGCTGTGCTAGCTACAGCCTTCTTGCTGCAGCGAATGTCTCTTGGAATGTATCTACTGTGCAAGAGAAGAGACGGAGAGGAGACAGGCACTAGGAGACGGTTTCTGCTGCTGCTGCTGCTGCTGCTGCTGTCTCCTCTATCTTCTCTGTCTACCTGGTGCATCTAAAGGACCCCTTAAAGCCGTAGCACCACGCGCAGCAGCAGCAGCAGCAACACAAACAGCAATAGCAACAGCATGAGCAACAGCAACAAGACACAGCAGCAGCAGTAGAGCAACCGACTAAGTGTCTCTTGCCCGCGGTATTATCTGCTGCTCTTTCGGTGTATAGGCACCTCCCGCATGCACAAACAATGTAGAATACATGCATTTAAATATACAAACAAATAAACAAATGAGAAATCATTAGTCCCCGAGGTGTATCTGCAGCTCTGCTCTCCTACTAAGTGTGGGGCGCATACGTTCGCAGCAGCAACACTAACAGCAGCAGCAGATACTACTGCTGCTGCAGTCATTGCTGATGCAGCTGTTGCTGCTGTAGCTAATGCTGCCGCAACTGTTGCCGCTGCTGTTGCAGCAGCTGCAACTCCTGCTGCTGCGGAAGAAGCCCACCAGAGCGTGAGAGGCATCAACAGGGTGTCTTGGTGTTGTCAGCAACCACCGCAGCAGCAGCAGCATGTGCAGCAGCAGCAGTAGCAAGTGCAGCAGCAGCAGCAAACAGGTGCAGCAGCAGCAGCAGCAGCAACGCCGCATAACGCGCGTCTGCTGCTTCAGAAGGTCTGCATGCTGATCTGCCCTGGACGTGGGGGCCCTAAGAGCAGCAAAAAAACACTCAACGCTGCAGCAGCAACTTGCCAGCAGCAGCAACCAAATAAGAAGCAGCAGCACCAACTGTCCCCGCAGCAGCAGCAGCAGCAGCAGCAGCAGCAGCAGCAACACGCGCGCTTGCCTTCTAGGACAACCCCCGATCTACTAATTATTGCTGCAGCATAAGGAAGGTCATAAGCCAGATCTGCATGCAGGCAACGCCCAGAACCTCCTTCGCAAACCCTAAACCCTAAACCCTAAACCCTAAACGCTAAACCCTAAACCCTAATACGCCGCTTAAGCAAATGAAAACGAGCTGCGGGCCTCACATGCACTCTTCGCGTTGTCAGCGAAGGCAGCGCTCCGCTCCTGCAATAGCTGCTCCACTGTATTCTGCTGCTGCTGTTGTGGCTGCTGCTGCTGCTGCTGCTGCTGCTGCTGCTGCAAGTTTCCACTGCGGCCCCCTGAAAAAACAGCAGCGCAAGCCGCAGCGGGGTGAGGCCTTTAGAGGCACTCAGAGACACATGATTCTTCCCCGCAGCAGCAGCAGAAGCAACAAAAGCAGCAGCACACGCTGCAGCTGCTGCTGCTATAGCTTCTGTTGCAGTTGCTGCTGCATTGTTTGCGCAGGGAAAGAGATATTTAAGTTTAAACAAAAAACAAACGAGGCCCTTAGCCTTAATAGAACTTCTTAGGGGCCCTTGGGCCCCCCGACGCAGAGACAAAACTGGGTTTTGCTGCTGCTTGCCGCTGCTGCTGCTGCTGCTGCTTGCTGCTGCTGTTGCTGCTGCTGCTGTCCTGCTGCTGCAACTGCATTGTTGCTAAGGTTACCAGCGCTTTCTGTTAAGGCCAGACGACCCAAAAACAAAAAAATGAAGTGCTGCTGCAGCATTTGCTGCAGCAGCAGAAAGAAAAGAATCAGCAGCAGCAGTGTCTGTTGTTGTTGCTGCTGCTGCTGCTGCTGCACTCGCTGCTGCTGCCCGCGGGCCTCGCATGCGGCTGTGATCTAGGAGCAGCAAATAGCTCTCAAGGCTATTCAACAAAAAACAGGAAACCTGTCTTTCCATGTCTGGATCTGCAGTGTACATACACTGGGACCTGGTGCCGTTGCTGCTGCTGCTGCTGCTGCTGCTGCTGCTGCTGGGGCTGCTGCGCAAGCTAGCAGCGGCAACAGCAGCACAAGAGCCTCAAAGGCTCATGCGCTCACCGCCAGGAACGCCGAACCCGCCTAGGAGAAACCCTTCTGCTGCAGCAACAGCAACAGCAAAAACCAAGCAGCAGCAGCAGTAACAACATAAGCATGCATTTCATCATCATCAGCAGCAGCAGCAGCAGTTGCTGTTGCCACTGCTGCTGCATAAGCCATCACAGGTCTTTCTTTTGTGTGTGTAAAAGCAGCAGAAATATACTATAATCGGGGAGACGCGTGCATGCAGCCCCACGGGCCTCTGGGGTGTATAGGCAGCTGCTGCTGCAGCCCCACAGATGAGGTGTACGTACACTGCAAGTCCGCAGCAGAGGATCCAACGAAGGCGGGGTCCCTTAAAGGAGAATTTGTTGTGGGGAGGAGGAGACAGGAAGTGAGCATATCTGCTGCTGCAGGATCAGAGGCATCCATAGGAGCCATTCCCAATCCTGCTGCTGCTGCTGCTGCTGCTGCTGCTGCTGTTGCTGCTGCTGATAGGTCCTGCACATACACATACACAGCGGCATCTGTGGTTTTCTAAATACTCCAATATAAAGCACACCTACTAAACAAAAGCAGCAAACTCAATTCACTTCAGCAGCAGCAGCAGCAATAGCAGCAGCAACAGCAGCAGCAACACAAGCAGCGACAGCAGAGCAGCAACAAGGGTGCATCTATTCCCCAAGTAGCAACTTACGCACCTGCTGCTGCTGCTGCTGCTGTTGGTAGTTTTGTTGCTGCTGCGGCTGCAAACAAATAGAGCGATCGGATTCGTCTCCAGCAGCTGCTGCCGTTGCTGCAGCAGGAGCTGCTGCTGCTGCTGCTGCTGCTGCGACTACATCCTTTGCTGTTCTAGAGAAGGGAACTCTATGCAGGAAGCCAGACCCCACATCACAGCCAAGGCTGCAGCAACACAAACGCATGCACCAGCAACAGCAGCAGCATCAGCAAGAAGTTGCCGCGAGCAGCAGCTGCAGCAGCAGCAGATACGGAACCACCGCCAGCAGAAGCAGCAGCAGGAAGCAGCAGCAGCAGCAACAGCAACAACGGCGAAGCGGCGAAGATAGCAGTAGCAGCAGCAGCCAGCAACACCAACACCAACAGCAACAAAAACAGTATTAGCAGCAGCGGCAGCGGTCCAGCAGCAGCAGCAAGAGCAGCTGAAGCAGCGGCAGCAACAGCAGCTGCAACACCAAGGGCAGGCCAAGCAGCAGCAACAACAGCAACTGCAGCAACAGCAGTACCGACTGCAGCAAGAGCAGCTAGAACAAGAGCAGCAGCAAGGACAGGCAAAGCACCAGCAGCAGCAACAGCAACAGCAGCAGCAGCAGCAGCAGCAGCAGCAAGAGCCTACCAGCCGTCTCCTCCCCAGTCGTCTCTTGGCTGCAGATTAACTTTTCTGATTGTCTCCGTGTCTTTATTAAAGACAAAAAGAGACAAAGAGGAGCCCAAGTGCTCCTCCGCACCCATTATAAGGTCAGAGACACCCCGGTAAGCTCCCTGCAGCAGCAGCAACAGCAGCAACAGCAGCAGCAACAGCAGCAGCAACAGCAGCAACAGCAGCAGCAACAGCAGCACCGAGCGGTTAGAAGCGGAGGAGACAGAAGGGGCAGCAGGAAGAGGAGACAAGACAAAAGACAAACAAATAAACACAGAATAAGCAAAATAAACAAATGAATAAAATAAATAAATAATAAAATAAATAATAAAATAAATAGATAAATAAAAAAATAACAACAGGCAGAAGATAGCCGAAGGAGACAAACAAGACAAACACAGAAGAGGAGAGAAAACGAAGGAGACAAAGGAGACAAAAGAAGAGACACAAGAAAGAAGAGACAAAAGAAGAGACAAAAAAAGAGACAAAGGAGACAAACAAATGATGAAAGGAGACAAAAGAACAGCGAAAAGAGACAAAAAGATTTAGAAAGGAGACAAAAGAAGAAAAAGGAGACAGAAAAAAGTAAAGAGACAAAAGAACAGCAACAGGAGACAACAAAAAATAAAGAAAGGAGACAGAAGAACAGCGAAAGGAGACAAAAGAACAGCGAAAGGAGACAAAAGAAGAAAAAGGAGACAGAAAAAAGTAAAGAAAAGAGACAAAAGGACAGCAACAGGAAACAACAAAGAATAAAGAAAGGAGACAGAAGAACAGCGAAAGGAGACAGACAAGAGTAAAGAAAAGAGACAGAAGAAGGTGAATAAAAGAGACGAAAGAACAGCGAAAGGAGACAGAAGAAAGTAAAGAAGAGAGACAGAAGAAAGTAAAGAAAAGAGACAGAAGAACAGCAAAAGGATACAGCTCAAGCCTACCCTATCATCGCCTAAAATATAATCTGAGCCTGCTCTAAGACCCGCTCGTTCTGCTGGTGAGTTCGTGAAAACCCCTAGAACTCTGAGAGGAGAGCAAAGAGAATCCTCAAAAGAAGCAAAGTGCAGCCCCAAGCCAAGCAAAGGCAAAGAAGAGTTCGAGCGCGCCGGCTGTATGTACACCTCTGCAATGCACAAACAAACAAACTCTAAACCCTAAACCCTAAACCCTAATACCCTAATACCCTTAAATGATTATATATATATATATATATCATGCAATTCAGTTGAGACAAAACATGCAATGCATGCGGCATAACCAGCAGCAACTCAGGAGATAACAGAAGCAGCAGGAGAAGCAGCAGCAGCAGCTGAGGGGAGAGCAATAGCAACCAACCCCTAAACCCTAAACCCTAAACCCTTGCCTCGGTTCATTCGGTGTCTCGCATTGTACACAGTCAGTCTCAGGGGCCTTCCCTCCTCAGCATCAATTCGCTTCAACACCGACTGTACAGACACCTGCATGCAAACGCAGCAGCAGCACAGCAGCAGCACAAGCAGCCAGTGCAGCAGCAGCACAAGCAGCAACCGGTGCAGCAGCAGCAGCAGCAGCAGCAGCCAGTAGAGCAGAGGCAACCCATGCTGCTGCAGCAGCAGCAACAGCAACAGGAACCGCAGCCAGAAGCAGCAAAACTCGCTTGCTGCAGCAGCAGCAGCAGCAGCAAGACCAGCAGCACTCGCTCCCCGAGCATCGGCGCTAAGCCCGCTCAAGGCAGGCCTACCAAAGTCCCTAAAGATTAGGGTTTAGGGTTTAGGGTTTAGGGTTTAGAGTTGGGGTGTATGCACACCTCAGGAGTGCAGAGGAGTTCATTTTCTATTTGAACGATAAAATCAAAAAATAATTCGAAGTCTCCGCCTTCCGCTGGACTCCCCGGGTGTACGCGCAGCACCCGAAAGCCTGCAAGCAGCAGCAGCAGCAGCACCAGCAGCAACAGCAGCAGCAGCAGCACTAAGGGGAGAGCAACACATGCTTGCACGCCAAGAGTCTATCAGGCAGCCACAGCGAGTTAAAAGCAGGGCTGAAGCAGCAGCAGCAGCAGCAGCAGCAGCAGCAGCAGCAGCCCTTACCTGCCTCCCCTGTAGATGCAGAGTTCCCCATTGTCTTATGTTCGTCTATTTGCTGCTGCTGCTCGTGCTGCTGCCTTTGCTGCTGCACCAGCTGCTGCTTCGGCTGCTTCACCTGCTGCCGAGGATATCAAGCTGCAGCAACTGTTTGTGTTCCTCTCTATTCCAGCAGCAGCAGCGGAGGCTGCTGCTGCAGCAATTGCCGTTTCTGCTGCAGTTGCTGCTGCTGCTGCTGCAGTTCGTGCAAGCAGGCCGCACGTGCTTCGGGGCCTGCCGCTGCTGCTGCTGCTGCTGATATACCTTCTCCAATTCGATACGTCTGACGCTGCCGTTGCTTCTGTTCGCGTTGCTGCAGCTGGTGCTGCTGCTGCTGCTCCTTCTGCTGCTGCTGCTGCTGCTGCTGCTGCCGCTGCCGGCACTGCCGCAGTTGTTGTTGATGCAGCAAAGGTTCAAGGGCTCCAACAGAAATAAGAAGGCGTCATTCTTTAGAAGTTTACGATACTAATGTTGTTATTGTTGCTACTGCGCCTGCAGCTGCTGCTGCTGCTGCTGGTGCTCCTGCTGCTGCTGCTGCTGCTGCTGGAGAGGTGCTGTGTTCATAGACATTTGCTGCTAAGAAAAGGGATCCCCTTGGCTTCTTATGTTGAATTTAAAACTTCCAGGGTCCCTCGATAATAAACTGCTGCTATGCCTTGCTGCTGCTGCTGCTGCTGCTGCCGGCGCCCGTGCTGCTATGCTTCGGTGTCGGCTCCGTAGCAGCAGCAGCAGCAGCTGCTGCTGCTGCTATGTCCTGCTGCATGTTTTCTGCATTATATTATCTTTTTTCACTATTTATTAATTTAAAAAGCATAAAAGAGACTGCCGTGTCTTTGAATAACTTCGATTTCAGCAGGTTGCTATTGCTGCTGTTGCTGCTGCTGTTGCTGTTGCTGCTGTTGCTCCTGCTGCTGCTGCTGCTGTTGCTGTTGCTCTTGTTGCAGCAGCTGTCTGTTGCTGAGGTATATTTGCTGCTGTTGCTGCTCTTTCAAATGACGGTTTGTCTCTGCAGCGTTCTCTGCGGTGCAGCTGCCTATACACTTGAGAATCTTGTTTGTTTATCTCTCTAGTGTATAGAGACAGCCCTCAATCTTTTGTTCTAAGCTGCAGTATATTTAAACAATTTAATATAATTAAATTCTCTCTAATGCAGATGTCTCCCCTACACTTTGCAATAGTCCTGGAGACACCGGAAAGAAGAGGCCCCCCATATATATATATATATATATATATATATATATAT